TAGAAGCATCAGAATTTCTCCGATAATTTTCTATACAATCCTTATAATTTGCTTTGCAATTGTTCTGTGGGCATAGGTAACTTGGTGCAAATTTCATAATCGGATCAGTGTTTTTTTGGATATTCACATTACAGTATATGCCTTATCAAAATACATAAAATGTTGGCGACTACCTGCAAATAAGTTCCATTTTGAGAAAAACTATGTCAAAGTTTCATATTCATAGCTGCTTTACGTTTAAAGCAGAATCTGAAAATCTTATGGAAATAAATCAAAATTTTACAAAAAACAAACAATGCAGTGGAAGGCCATGAATTTGTTTCAAGCATATCTTTCAATTATAATACATTTCTATACAAGTATAAATCATCACATTGTAACTGTAATTATTTTACTAGAACCCAAAACATATTCAAAAAACACTCCATTGGGAGATTTTAACTAAACAGTTTTACAAAAACGCAACACGCGTTCTGCCATACAATGGCTTCTTCAGACGTGTATATACTAACTTAGTGAAGGAACTTATTTTATAGCGAAACACGTGTTGTGTTTTTGTAAAACTTTTCTGTGAAAATCTCACAATGAAGGTTTTTTTGATTACGTTATGAATTTTCAAGTATCGGCAGATTCCATCATGGACTCAAAACGATGATTTTTATAATTTTCTGTCTGTCTGTCTCTCTGTCTGTCTGTCTGTCTATACGTCTTTGCGCTAATCTCGAAAACTACTTATCCGATTTGGGTTCGGTTTCCACTAATGTATTGTGATAAGCTACACCAAACATTACTTATCTGATTTATTTCAATCGGTTTATGAATAAAAAAATTGTCATGCCAATTTTAATTATCATGTCAAACATTCATTATGCACTGTTTGGAACCTTTGGTGTAGTAATGAATATTACTGGAGTTTTTTCCCAACACCAAATCGTTATTTTTAACACCTCGACACGTGGTGATCATGTCAAACATTTGTTGGAGAAGACACTATAAAAACACTGTTCGGTTAATTTGGGTGGAGCATTGATTAACTATAACTATAGTTAATGACACGATTTTCGAGAAATTTTTGCCATTTGAAAATCTGGAAAAATCTAGTAACTGAAATCACGGGTAGCAGCTATTTATTAAAGTATTTTTCGAAATATTCGAAATACCTACGAGCTCTGTTTAAAAAATAAGGTGAAATTAAATTTATCCCAAAAAATATTTATTTGTTCATCAATTTCTCTCTTGTCCCATTCAAAGTGGTCCATTTCAGATATAATACACTTATGCCAGCGTTTTTTCCAATCTCTGAGGCACTTCTGATATGCATTTTTTGAAGCCTTGAGCGCTCCCAGCGATTTGGTTTTTATCTTTTCAATCGTCGCAAAACGTCGTCCTTCCACAGATCTCTTCAATCTCTGGGATAGGAATAAGTTGCAGGGAGGGAAATCTGGTAAATACGGTGGCTGAGTTATGATAACGGAGTTGTTTTTGGCCAAAAAATTACGAACAAGCAATGACAAGTGAGCAGGCCCATTGCTGTGATGTAAACACTATGAATCGTTTCTCTACATTACCGGACGGTTTCTCCGTATTGCTTCTCGCAAGCAAAGCATAACTTCAAGATAATAATTTTTATTAACCGTACAACCATGTGGCAAAAACTCCTGATGCACTACGGTAATCGAAGAAAACAGTGAGCGAAACTTTGACATTTGATTCAACTCGGTGTGTTTTTTTGGCCTTGGCTCTCCTGGGCTCTTCCATCAGGACGTTTGGATTTTGATTTCGACGTCATAACCATATACCCATGATTCGTCACCAGTTATGATCCTTTCAAAGGATCATAACTGGTGAGGATTGCCATTGACGTCAGTCAACAATTCCTGAGTGATGCTCAAGCGACGACGGTCCTGTCACACGCTTCATGCCCAAAATTTTCGAAAAAATTGCATGGTATGATCCAACCGATATGTTGACATCCTCAGCAACATCTCTATAATAGTAATTTGACGTTTCTCCATAACAAGTTCCCCCACTTCCTCAGCATTTTCATCGATTGTTGATGTGCTGCGGCGTCCAGGGCCTATGCGTCGTTATTCACATCTCGAACGTCTGTGAAAAACTTGTACCACTTGTGAACAATTTTCTGACTCACAGTAGTATCACCGTACGCCACTATCAACATTTCAAGTATTTTTGCGAACTTAATTCCAGCTCTACACAAAATTTGATACAAATTCTTTGTTATTTTCGATAGCAGAAAATCGCCGAACACGCACAACACTTCTATATGTCTCTCGCCAACAAACTGAATATGCTAAATAGTTGAAACTCTGAGCATATGTTCGAGATGAGTGTACCAACAAAACAAAAAATTCGCTAATGGAATGTACGTACCCAACGAAATTTGAACATTCACCTTCACTCACATTCACCTAATTCCTTATAAGGAATTTAAAAGATATACTGGAACAAAATCAGTCGGTAACTTTATATGACTCTCAAGTAAATTTACCACTGAGGTATGGGTTGTGTCTGTGGGGTAATAGGTACTATCCATGCACGGGATGTTTTCATCAATCAAAAGAAAATTTTGAGACTAATAGCAGGCGTTTCCTGCGTTTCATTCATGTAGAAATATATTCCCTTCTTATAAAATTTTACCTCTTACAAGTTTATATATTCTTGAAGTATGCGTCTATACATTTAAAAATATTGACAAATGTTATAAAAATTCCAACATTCATGCATTGAAAACAAGGCAAAAAAATTTTATTTACGTTCCATATGCGAGACTCAATATTACTTCAAAATCTCCTAATTTTATTGGACCTAGGATATATACCAACTTCCCGAAATTAGTAAAACAACGAAGACATTATTTCGCTTTAAAAAAACTTTCAGTGTCTTTCTATTGGAAAAATGTTTTTACGCACTAGATGAGTATTTCGAAGAAAATTTTTATTGTATTTTGTATGCACCTTATTTAATTTAATGATGACTATTCCTATACATTTCATATGTCAAAAGAAAAATGATTATTATTATTTTTTTTTCACCGTAGTCTGTCAGGCCCTATCCCCCGACGCCCCGATACATTCGGGAAGGCGCGCCAGCATTATCAACCAATGACCACTCTTCACACCGTGGGGTAAATGATCATTGGGTCCGAGAATCATGTGCTCTGAGCAAGCGCAGTGAGCCAACAATGACAGCCTTCTGCATCTGTGCGACTAAGATTTCTACCTTAGAGCGGCAAGCCGGTATGATTTTAAGATTCGAGAGTTGAGAGGGCATCATTCCACCAAGGACTCCCATAATGAGAATAACCATCTTGACAGAGTGATTTGGATCTGCGGAGTTCGAGAAGAAAATTTCGATGTTTTATCCGTTTTTCCTCAGCATGTCCGCAAATGCTGGACATGCTGATAGCAAGTGCATTAGGGTCTCGGGTGTACTCTTCCACCACCCTCAAGGACTGTTGGAGACCCTTCTCTCCAGAGGCATAAAGTTTAACATCATCCATATAGAACAAATGGGTGACCTTGTGCCTCCGGTTTCCAGGGGTGCCACTGTTATACCCTCGAGTATTTCTGAGCGCAACGGATAATGGCAATAGTGAGATGCAGAAGAGACGGGGACTGAGGGAATCACCCTGAAATACACCCTTTCTGAAAGTGATCCACCCTGTTTAGACTCTTGCTTAACCATATGTTATGGTGAAGCGAGTTCGCCAAAGCGGTATCAGTTGTTCAATGCATCTCACTATTATGTCGGGTACTGCAAGGCATCTGAGCAAATGCAAGATAAGCTCATGCGAAATTATATCAAATACCTTACGGTAATCGAATCAGGCCATAGAGAGGTTACGCTTATATTATATCGACTCCTGCGTTATACATCTAACGATGAGCAGGTTCTCTTTACATCCAGCGACTCCTCTCTTCGACCCTCTCTGTTCGAACACTCGGTCAACTGGCTAGATGGCGGTGGTTGCTTGGTAGTTTTTTTACCAATAAGTGTTCAGCCCTTCTGGGCCTGGAGCAGCAAAGTTCTTGGAACCCACAAGGGCTCTTCGAACGTTATCCGGGGTTATCGGGTTGCGCAGTTCATTGAGCTCAGGCTGTCGAAACTCTCTGTTGAAAGCTTCGAACTGCCCTAGGGCTGGAGTGTCTACGTTGAGCGGCTGCGGGTGTTCAGTGTTCATAGATATCCTTCCAGAAGGATTCCACCTTATCAACGGTCGGCGGATTATCCACAACACGTGGAGGCTCTAGGAATAAGTGAGAAAGTTTCTCGCGGAACCTAAGGTTTTCCGTGATACTTCTCGCTCGCCTCACTAGTGACTTCTTAGCAGTCTCTAGCATTCATATCCTATCAAGGCAGTGCTAATTGGTGGTCAGCAGCACGCCTTGACTTAAATTGTCGGCTATTCGCCGCACTGCGGTTGAGAAAGGCCCATTGGCCGCCCTGTATTCCATCACACATTGGATACGAGACGCGTGTTGTCTCGCCGACGTGATCTTAGCCTCCGTCTTGTGTACACGCCGTTCAATCTTCTGAACCGCAAGGCCGGGATTTCGTCCTTCCGATTCAGAAAGCGATTAGACGACGTTATACGTTATTATTATTATTACAAACCTCTTACAGTAGGGTTTTTGCTTTTTTTACAATAATGCATATTCAATTCCCCAACTCTTGATAAACTCTCTATTACAATAAAGATGATATTGACTTGATAAATATCCTTCCTTGCATCAAATCAGTGACTTCCAATAATTGTTATATCCTCAGAAGTTTGTCCGGCTCGGCCTAGAGAACAAGCGCAATAAGTACCCTCAGTGAGGTAATCCCAAACTCATTTTCATGTAGGTCTAAGGTCCTCTACATATGAATTACAATTTTTCTTGCATATTTTTATGGATTTTTCCACTAAGTGGAAGAGTTTCATTATAACTTAAACGGTACATCATATGCCACATTTTTAACATAATCTTTTTTTTCAGTTGGATGCACCGGGAGTCGAACTCAGGTTATTGCCTTAGCATTTTGCTCCATCAGCTCAGTTCCTGGAGAAACTTAGAAGAACTCAATGGAGTTTCTGTTTGAAGACATGATTTTATATTCAAAATGTCTAAGGTTATCATGTATTTCAATTATCCATCTATTAGAAATTCACTAGATTCATTCTTGCCAAGTGTATAAACATAAATTTAAGCCTAGATATCTGAATACAAACAACTTGACTGAATTATAGCAGTCGGTTATAATAACTTGTGATAAACTATAACACTTCAAATAAATCGAACCACAAAGATTCGTTGAATAGTTATTCAGAGAATCATTTTGGTTCCGTAATGAAGATGTCTAATATAACGTGCCAGTGAAGTATTCAGTACTATAACAAAGGTATGCATCTCACCGATCAGTGGCCGTTTTCAACCTAATTTGAGTATCGATATGCTGTAGACCTGAACCACTGAAATTGGAGTAAAAGTTCTGTATCATGAATAAAAGTAAAAAGAGACCAGTTGAGACATTCGTAAGAATATAAAAAGTTCATATTGGTCTCTCATTCAAGGATGTTTTCCAGATAAACGTTTTACCTATTTCGACATTCATATCTCTGTAAAAACGTTTGTATTCTACTTCTACATTGAAATATGAAGAATGGGAATTTCCAAAGAAGGGAAAACAAAACTGTACAGGTGAATGTGTACTCACGCAATTTCTTTCAAATACAAACTAAAAAAATGTGTTTGAAACATCTACTTTCCATCACGAATTGTACGTAACTACTTTCCATCACGAATTATAGGGAAATTTCTCATATATAACACCCAGAAGCCAAATTACAATATAATACACATAGAAGCTCAAGAAAGTGCATTCCGCAAAAGTCGATTGTCAATTTTTTCATAAAAGAATGTCGCAAATATTCCAAATAGAAGAAGTTGATTAAAGTGTGCGAAACTCAGTAGCAATTGTTAAATATTGTTAAATTACATTCATTAGAACACAACATTTAAAAGGTGGCATTAGATATACTTGAAGAGCTCTACGTAAATGTAAGATTCCGATTTTACAGGAGGAATTACCTTCATTTGGCAAATATTATTGTTGATTCCGTTCATCTTCCTCATTTCTACTTCATAAATTTCATTTTTTTACTGGAAAATACTCTCAAAATATTTTTTGTTGTTGTTCTCTATACACTTTAGTTTTAGTGAAAAATGTCGACCTTCTGATTTGGATACCAAGATGAAGAAGAGTAGTATGTATGAAAATATCATCTGACAGGAGAAAATTCTTAATGAAAAAACGCCAAAATTCGAAAGGATGAAATTGAAATCGAACTTTTTGTTGAGATTAATTTGAATTAGAGACAATTGTCAGTTGAATAGTGTTTGATTGAATTGTTCACTTTTTTATTTGCGTTCTTTCCAGAAATTCGAGTATACCTATAGATATATACATACATTGTTATGTGTGTATAAAGGGGTCCTGTTTATTTGCCAGTAAAACTAGCTGCAGTGGTTTATTAATATTTACTGCAAATCGGTTCCTCAGTATCCCATTCAAACTAAGTATTCACAACACCAATCATTTGTTTTTATTATACATACCTACCCATTTAAATGGAAAGGGGTATATTTTTGGAAAAAAGGGTTTTGGCTTTCTATTTCTCCATCTTTATACAAAGAAATGTGGAAATCTTATAAAGAAAAGAAGAAATCGATTATTTAAAAATTAACCTTCACAAATGATCATGCAAAGAAGTAGCATTCAGACACAAACTGGAACAAAAAGCCGTCTCGGAACAACTACTTCCATATGAACAAAAGAAAAAATACTTCCGAAACAACTGCTTTTGTATGAACATTGAATTACAAAAAAACACGTTGTCCTATTCAATTTGTATTCAAACATTCGTTATGGAATGGGTATCCTTCACAGGATTGCTACACAATATCGTGAATGGAAGAGGTAAAATTTCACATGAAACGCTGTCATACTCATTATTTCATCAGTGAGTCATGTTTTCACAAGTGGTTTCAGGTCTATAAGTACAGTTTGCCAAAGTTTGACTACCTCTGCCCTCATGAATATTTCATGCCAAAAGGAAGATTCTTTTCATAGTCCAATTTTCGAAAATTAGTATGTTACTGTTAATCTTCATTTAGACTTCCTGAAACACTGTCGATTTTTAAGATCAACATGTGGGTGCTTTCTATATTTCGAATGAGCTTTGTGATGATCTACTTCCATTATTTGTTCATGGCCATGTTAAGACAGAGTAAAAGTGAACTACTCGATTTGACTTATTCAATATTTTTGCCTCTCCAGTCTGTTGAGTCTCCAATTCTAACATCGTAAAACATAGTTCTTTCAATTTGTGGTTCAATTATAGTCTGTCTATCAATCATTCATAAAAATAACACTGATTTCCACTTACTTTGTGTTTGTTAAATTTATAATTCATTAAATTGAACAAAGCATAACAACAAAGCATATTTGTGAGACATTGAATAGTTAGATAGAATATACTTGCAGTCAAATCTGTATATATTTGTGTGTTTTAATCGTTCAGTTCCCTAGATGATGCTTGGCGGTTCTGGAGAATTTCTCTTTTTAAAAACTCATAAACAGAATTCTTATTCGTCTCTTTGTTTTGGAACATTAATCAATTATCCGGAAGGGTTTCAGCAGGAAATTTTCGAAATACGGTGTGTGTCGAACAGCTATTAGAGGTTTGAGATGAAGGAATGAAGTTATTAAAAATGTTTCATATAAAAGTTTTAGGTATCAATGCATTGTACTTTTTTGAAACGTTATTCAGTATACATACAGTGTATACAGTAGAAGTGTGTCATATCAAAGTTAGGAGCTATGCTAAAAATAACATCAAAATTTGATCTATTCAACCGTTCTTATTTTCAATGAAATCTCATTTTAAGAGTTTTTTTGTGTTGTAGATATTTTAAAAATAGTTTTAACAAAATCATTTTTCTGAATCTGGGTGAAATAAAATTCGAAAACAATTCCTGCTTAGCGTCACTATTTTTCGGGTTTGAAGGCCGTGGATCTTTGGAATTTCTTCCTGACGTTTCGCTGGCGCGAGTGGCTAGCTTCCTCAGAGGTTCATACATTTATTATCTCCGATGACTGTTGACTCCTCAGGTAGTTTGGTGTGCTAATACATCTTGAAATAAATTTCAGGAGACTGTTATTGGACACAAGAAATCTCGATTTTTTTTTTTAATATCATCATAGAGAAATAATCTACAAAAGTGGCTATATCATTAATTACATTTATTCGGGATGGATAGCACCCAAAAATTTCGTGTCCACGTTTCCCATAGTTACAGGAATCTATAAAATCACATGAGGTACCTTTAAAAAATGAGTTTTCAAACACCGAATCCCTCGAATCCCACTCGAATCGCTCGTTATAAAGCCATGCAAAGCAGTATTTTTGGAAAGTAGGTTTTACATGAAAATTAATTTAAGTATAAAATGTAGGGTAATTATATCCATATAAATCAATAAAAAAATATTGTATAGTTTTCATTCAGCCAGTATCAGAAAAGAAAATTATTAAATCATCGTTCGATTATAAAAAACTAGATTTTCAAATCATCTGCATAGCAACAACTGTTCAAATGAAATTTCATTTAAAATTGGGACGTATACATGCATACGGATAGATACATACAATCACTTCTCGATCATATTTCTGAAATAACTATTGAACGCTCGGTATTTATCTATACAACCCCAATTTTTTTGATAAATTCCTAACGGAATCCGAATATAGGAAACAATATTCCTTTAAAAAACATAGCTTTGAACTTTCACGATTTTTCTGGGTCACTGTATAATAGAGGATATTTTAAAAAATCTCGTTGTATTAATATCTAAAATTTTGATAACTTAATTCCTTCCTCCCAAACTTCTAAAGGAAGCCTGACGTGACACAATGAAACACTATATTGGCTTGTATACCTAAACAAAATAAAGAAGAGTTATTCACAATTAGTAAAGAACCGGCATCACATGAAACGTTTTTTCAGAGATTTACCGAATGGGCTTTTGCCTAAAAGTTGTAAACGCAGCCAATATTATGTATCCTTGTCGAGTAACCTACCCGTTGTTTGTATAATTGAGGTTCAAAATGTCAATTCAATATATCCATATATCGCTAGACTTACGGTCACTGCAAATTTTGAATACTGTCTCATCAATAGAAGTCGAGACAAGACGAGACACCTTCTCTTATCGAGAGAAACGATCTCGATCTCGGCCTAAACAAAAAGAAGAAGAACCTGGATTTTTTGAGGAATATCTCAACTTTCATTTTTTTCGTAAACTTAAAGCAAAGTACTTTTCACTTTGTCTCCCATTTCACTTGGGCAGATTCTTAATTCTAACTGAATATGTAATAATATGTCTTCAGAAACAATAACTGATAATCAAGCGTTAGTTCATCAAGAGAAACGAATAAAAATATATAGGTATGATCTATACATATATTTAGAAAAAATAAATGTCAATTTCAACTGTGTTTCAAATTTTATTATTGGCAACCCAATAGGTTGAGTGCTGAATACAATAAGTGTTTATACAAAGTTACAAAATGGATGTTTTTAAACACTCAAGAAAATTGACAAGTACTTTGAATATAGTTTCGTAACGTGTATTATTTTCTTCCATTGATAAAAACAAAAAATTAAACAAATTCGTTCTTTATAAACATCTCATTATCCTGGACTTCTAATTGTCTTGCATGTGAGTTCGGCACTTTCAAATCAAAACCAATAATAAAGGTAAATTTGTGAAATTTCTGTCAGTTATGACGTCAAGAAATAGAAACGTCGCCTTCATGTAGAATTGCAAAGCAACATGATGTGATGTTACTAAAATTTAATAGAGACATCCAACTTCACGTGATATTGAAACAAAAGAGAGACAATTCTTATTAAAAAGCAATTGAGTTCAAAATAAACCCTTTATTACATAGATGTGTAGATCATGTATAGAACAACTCTGCGCCAAATATTTTTTTAATGTAGGTTATTGCTACTGCCTGAAGTGTTATCCAATTTACGAACCAGTCCCTCCTGGATCAGGTCAACTTGTTCCTGAATCAGAGTAGTGACTTCAGGATAGCGTCTATCTATGACCGCCATCCTGAGCCCACCAACAACCTCACCATATGACCCAGTATGTCCATGAGAACCCCTGTGTTTTTGATTCCCTCTGTGTGGGAGGTTTGAGTCCACTATTTTCCTTTCCAGCCCCTTCCACAGATGTTCTTTTCGATAAATCTGCTGCGGTCTTCAGATGGATTTTCATTACACGTCCCCCCAGCAATTTTCCTCGCTTTCCCCAGATTGCTTAACTGTGCTCGTCGTGCGATAGTCGTTTGTGTTGCAGTCCGACACTTGCCAGTCCTGTAACTACTATATCGGGGTATTGTCACCCGCCGTTTGTTTTTGACTTTGCTGGTCCACTTGAGTCTCCAGATCAGTCATATTTTGTGAGCAGCCGCTTGAATAGTTCATATGAGTCTCATTAGTGTGGGGAAAGGATTGTCCACATCCTGCATGAATGCAATTCATGCAGGATGTGGACCTCAGGCGACCTCTGGGAGGTCGCCTGGTATACCAGCCGCTCCGTTACTGATACCTATCAAGTCCCTGTACCATTCATCCTTCAGCACGGGCTGCATAACACTACTGGATTGAGCCCCTTTAAGTTGTTCCCAAAAGGCAAATGTTGCCGCGGACTCATTCTAACAACCGGTGCCGCAGGATGTGGTAAATATTACTGGTAAATATTACTTTTTAGTTCTATCAATTTCTAAACTACCTCAGTTTTTTAAATTAATTTCTCTTTTCTCTTTCAAATTATTTTTCCAATCAACCAACGACAATTGTATTTTGTGGATAACTTAGCATACTATCAATTTATTAAACATAGACTTTGTAAACCTTGATCATGCTCCATTTTGCCAACATTTATTTTTGATACCTTTCATGAATTCGTATGATGGCTGAGCATCAAATTGTTTCAGATAGATGCATAGAAAAATTGACACCATGTTCATGCCGGAGAACGAGCTTTATTGAGTTGGATAATACTTGTAGTGTGAAGACCTGTATCTTTATTTCGTATAGGCAAGAGCAAAATGGATTATGATCTATTTTATGCATTGAAACATCTTTACTTTGGGTCTTACAAGATACTCCATTTGCGTTTTCCTGTTTTCTCCACTAATCTAGACCAGGGGTTCCAAACTACGGCCTGCGGGCCAAATCCGGCCCGTCAGTGTCATCAATCCGGCCCGCGACAGCCAATGATTTACTGTCATCAATCTGTCCCGCGACAGCCAATG